TCAGCACCATGGTCTTCAGGATGCTTGCGTGGCGCTTCGTCACAAGCCCTGAAGCCAACAAAAGAAACAAACACAATTCACATTGACACATGCTTACGTGTGTGTGTGTCTTCTGTCGCAGCCGAGTCTGGGCCTAGGAAAGGACAGACAGGCAGGGAAAGGCAGATAGATGAGGCAAACAGCCAGTCAGAACAACAAAAGGCACGCTTACATGTTCATGGTGTGCATGCGAGTGCCGTGCCAAGCCGCGTGGTGATGCGGAGGTGGTAGCAAGAGCACAAGATGCCTCCCATCTCTCCAAGCGTCATCCGCATGGCTTGACGAGCTGCTGTGAGCTGACAAACAGCCGAAAAAGCACCTCGTCTGTTTCTTTCTCGATGATCTCGCTGACCGCCAACACCTCATGCTGAGCGCTCGACAGCAACGACAAGCAAAAGCTGACGAGCGAGAGGGGGAGTTAGAGCGGAGACCGAGTTACACGGGCGAGATCTACGAGACATGACTTGTGATGCGCGTGGACCCAAGCTCGCGTGTCCATGAGACCTCCGTCGTCACTGAATGCTTCTTTCGGCTTCGTCACATTCCTACTCACTACCCCGAGCTACTGCTGATACTCCAACTCAATCCCTTCTCACTTCTTCTAAGCTCGCATTTCTCAGCTCGCGCTGAAGGGTTCTGACGAGCCTTCGGCTCAGCGGCAGGCGAGTCGGGGACGACAGGTGTAAGGATACACGAGCTGCAAAGGAGCGACTGAATTCCGTCGCATCGCTGCTCGTGTGACCATGGAAGCGATTAGCATCGGCGGAGAGTAGGACAGGACAACGGGGCCTAACGATGGAAGCGGCAGGTGAAATGCACTCACACAAGCGGAGGGAAGCAGGCGGGCATTCATCAGCCATGCTGTCTTGTCCGTCTGTGTGGCAGGTGAACGTGATTGTGGTGGTGCTGGCAGTGGGTCGTCTGCGACTCGTCTGCCCGGCAGTGCCACTCATGCCGCGAACCATCAGGTGAGCACTCAGCACCGGGCTCATCTTGTCGCACCAACGCATTTGTGTGTGTGTGTGTGTGTGTGGCGCTCATGTCGTGCAGGCCGTCAGTGATAGTGACTTACTCCATCGCATGCGGGCGGGGCTGGATCTCATGCGTGACCTCGCCGACACACTGCAGACACAGGTATGCGCCCGGTCGCTTCCGTGAGCAAGTGCCTCATGTATTGGCTTCTTATGTGTCAGTGCGTCGATCTGTCGGCGACCCGAGACGCCCTTTCTGGTCGGCTGTCTGAGGGGCTGATGCGCATCGAGTCGCAAGTCGACGACATGAGGCGAATCATCGACAGCTCACAGGTGCGCACGTCGACATATGTGCGGGATGTGGGTGCACTTGCATGGCTTCGTGTGGTGTGGTGTGCCCTCAGGTCGGTGCTGGCGAGGCGACTGGTGTAGAAGGAGAGGAAAGTGACGCACCTGACGCACCTCACTCGGTATTCCCTTGGGAGGAGAGACGACGTCAGCGGCGGGCAATCTGATGCACATGTGTGTGTCTGCAGGCCCATGCTGCTGTGAGGGCGGATGGCTCCTCGGTGCCCTCTTCCCTTGCCGCTACTGCTAGTGCTGTGTCTGCTGCTGGTGGTTGGGGTATGAGGCGACACAGGGATGACACGGCGATTCATCAGATGCACCAAGAGCTCTCTGTGTGTGTGCAGGTGGTGCGTCGGGGGACCTTGGACAAGGAGGAGAGAGCGAAGGCCTGCAGCAGCTGCAGCAGGTCAGTGTGTGAATGCACTGACAGACATGGCTCCCGGGATTCACTGCTCTCCCTCCCTTGTGTCCGTCTGTGTGTCTGTCTGTCTGTCTGTCTGTCTGTCAGGGTGTCGGCGGTCTGACGAGTGAGCCGCTGTGCGAGTGGACGACGTCATGCTCCTTCTTCACCGCCAAGATGACCTCAGTGCCGCCTCGCGAGGTCGAGGAGGGGCCGGCGGAGATGACAGAGGACAACCACCACAACACGATCATCGCACCGCGAGCTCTCGACCAGGGCGGCAGCCACAGCAGAGGCCGGTTGTCCTTCGTGTCGCCTCGAGTGGTGTCCCCGTCGCCGCATGATGACACATCACCATCTGGCCACCACAACCCTGACGATGACGTACAGGTAAGGCGCGCGCAAGCAACCACTTGCTGGCGCCATGCAGTGTCCATATCTTTCTGTCCGGTCCATCAGGTTTCCGTGGGCATGCCCGCCGTCTGCAGAGGCCGCTCGTCATCCCTGCCGCCTCCTGTGCTGCCCCGGTCGCCAGCGCCATCATCGGCGGCGTCCCACCAGGACACCCCCGGGGCACAGGTAAGACGCAGAGCACAGGAGCCACTCGTCGATGCCATCCAGTGTCCGTCTCTGTCTCTTCTGGTCCTTCAGGCTCCCGTAGATACTTTCGAGTTCCTCCACCAAATGCTCGTGCAGGTGCGGCGATGGATGGGAGGCAGCACCACCCACACACGGCACCATCACCTTTTACGCTCTGCTGTGCTGTGGGCATTTAGGTGTACGCGGCGGCCCGCATGGACGCCTCTCAGCTGCCCAACCAGGTCAGTCGGCGTCCCACAGCCACGCTGGTCGTGCACAGGTCAGTGGATGTGTGTGTTGTATGTGTGTTGGTCCGCTCTTCCACGGCACGTGGCGTGCGCGTGTGTTGGTCGCCCTCTCCATCGTCGACAGTGTCTTTGTGCTGTGTGGCAGGCGGTGGCCATGTGCTGATTGAGTGGTTGGTGGCAATGTCTGATTCGGTGCCCGATGAGGTGTGGCGCAGGCGCATTCTCCCCTCCCTCCTCGCCCATGAGCTCGTCTGTGTGCGAGCCACCTGCCGGGCAAAAGCGGTGTTGGTGACGGCTGGTGTGCTGGTGGAGCGCATCGACGGCTCCCTCGCCCGCCACTCACTCACCGGCCTCATCGACATCGACCGCACCGCCCCCCTCTCATTGACCTATGTGCTGCGTGTGGCCTATGTGCTGGAGCAGGGCAGTGGCGACGAGTGGCGTCGGGTCGGTGTGGTCTTCATCCGCCTCGCCGCCATCTATCGGCTGCCGCCGGCCACTGGACTGCCGCTGGTGCTGCCGGTGCAGTGGCTGATGGCCAACCTCCCCAGAAAGACCTCCTTCCATCAGCTGCCATTGGCGATGGCGATCTATCGGCTGTTCGGCCACATGCTCACCTACCAGGTACAGAGCACCAGCCTGGCGCTGCAGCAAGCCGACAACGGTGTCTATCGGATCGGCAATGAGTCGTTCCGTGTGGTGCCGCTGATTGAGCTGTCGGCGCACTATCGCTACACTGAGGGCTACAAGACGACCGATCCCGCCATCCGCCGGGCCAACTGGCTCTACCGCTCCTTCTCGTCATTCCTCCTGGACGGACTGCACTCGCGGTGGCCGCGTGAGAGGGAGGTGGGCGTCAGGATTGTGCTGCAGGCTCTCATCAACGGCAATGACCCCCGCCATCACCGTCTCAAGACTGAGCGCATCAGCGAGCAGCAGGGCATCGCTGTGGACTACCGGACACTCACCGAACTCCAGTTCCGTGATGTGATTGTGAGCGGTTTCCGGCCCAATGAGGACTTTGCCGCTTGTCTAGAGTGGATGAGTGGGGGCGTCATCCTTCTGTGGACGGGGGAGCGGCATGTTGGCGATCTATCTCAGCCGCTCGCTCACCGCTACCCGCAGTCGATGCCCCGGTGGCGTGCCGTGCTGCAGCATTTCAACCTCGAGAACGACGTCATTAAGAGAGGGACGGTGAAGGGATGAGGGGCGAGGGGTGAGGAGTGACAGATGTGTATGTGTGTGTGTTGGAGAAGGGCTAACTGTGTTGGTCAGGTGAAGTGGCTGATCGCATTTATCGAATGGATGTGTGGGCACTCTCTTGCTGACTGTGAGTGGGTGAGTCATCCTGTGCTGTCCAGAAGCAGTGCCCTGCAGGAGGAACATTGTGACAAAAGCAGCGGCTTCTTGACGGTCCTATGACGTCGGCAGTGTCACTTAATTCACCTGCGATGAATCCTGAATCTTTCTCCGTCGCTGAGAGCCGACTCGCACGTCCGACGACAAGCGACGAGCAGAGTGGCCAGGCCACGTGCCAAAGGAAGGGAAGATCGGCTCCCCGGAGTCTTAGACCAAAGAGCGAGCTTCTTATTGCGATCCTGTCCAGCGGCGAGAATTGCGAGCTTGAGAGGAGACAAATCAAATTTTTCCAATTCTATGAGCCGTCCTGCCCAAATTCTTCCAATCCGGCTCTCCTCCGCCTTGTTTCCCTCCCTTCGTCGCCGTTTCTGTCGGCGATGGTCTGACATGACTTCGCTGCGACCTCTGCGGCCCTCCCCTTCTGAGCAGCGCATCGCGCGACACCCGTTGTGGGACCAGCCCGTTTTCCCTGGTGGCCTGGCAGTGCTCCCTTCTCTTCCTTTTGCGACGGCCCACCAGGTGGAAACCACTGGCAAGGTGCAAGGCGAGATGTGACGCGTGTGGCAGGCCTGTATGTTGTGTATTTTCAACTGCGTGGATGTCTCCAGGTGTGCGAAAAGTGCGACGTCTGCCAACAGACACCATCGATGCCCGCGAAGCCCTGAAAGGAGGTGTTAAAAGTGTCAAGAACAGTGCTCTTGTGTATGTTTCTTTTCCCAGAAGGGTGCAGAAAAAGAAGAACCAGTGGAACGTCCGGCGGGTGAGTGTCACGGTGGTCAAAAGTCAGGGAGACGGCCAGCTTCTTTTTTCCCAAGCCGTTCATACGCCGCCGTTTCTGCTGGTCGCACATACCCGTCAGCCACGACTTGCCCGCGACCTCTGCGGCCTCTTCTCCATCAGCCCGTATCCCAGGTTGCCTTGGCAGTGCTCCTTTCTCTTCTTCCGGCGACGGCCCACCACAGGTGAGTAGCCCGACGTGTGCGTCGATGTATGTTGTGTATCTTTAAGTGCGGAACGTGGGACGTCTGCCAACAGACACCATCGATGCCCACGAAGCCCTGAAAGGAGGTGCCCGCTCCTCAACGAGCTGCCGGACATCAAGCAGATGCTGCAGACTGCTCTACACCGAGCCAGGAGCGGGGTGGAGGGAGAGGACTTGCAGGTATTCGGTGACCAGGAGCTCTCAATGCAGCTACCAAGCCATCTCGGGGGGCTCCAGTCGGCAGGCGGCGAGCCCCTCCCTCCCTTCATTCACTATAGCTACTTCAACCACTACAACCGCTACATACTCGTGTACGCCCGCATCGTCAAGGACCCCGAAAGACTTCTCGGCGCGTGGTTCTATCTGCGTAATCGCTTCCTCGGCGCCGCTAGAGATGCCCCCCCGAACCTCCACCAGCTGCCGACGGTCAATCAGATGCTGGACAGCGCCCTGCGGCGAGCGACGAGTGGAGCGGGTGGGCAGAATTTGCGACAGCTATTCAGCAGGCAGCAGATGATCGATATCGCTCTGCCGGTCTGCACCCATGACGCATGCGCCAAGATGCACACGCTGTTGACGACCGACGTGCCGGTGTACCACAGCCCCGCCACTGAACAGCGAGCGAACCGGATCGAGCAGTTGGACATGGTGCGGGACGCAGAGGGAGGGGTGACGTGGTTTCGGACGACGACAAGCGGCGGCATCGAGCCTGTCCCCTCTGGGCCGCTTCGGACCACAAAGACCCACGCCGACGACGGCGTGCGAGTCGGCTCATCGGCAGCAATTGATCGGCAGCAGCGAAGGATTGTGTAGCCCATCTTTCCTTCCATTCGCTGTTGCAGCCGTCTGTTTCGTCTAAGCACCTGGCAGGTAGGATGAAAGGCCGACACGAGGGACCACCAATCCGTCAGAAGCCTACCAGGTTCGTCTGATGCATCTTCAGGTCTGAACCCGACGCAGAGCTCTATCAACACTATCCCAAGGCCGGAATTCACGGCTCGCCCGCACGTTTGCGATGACTCAAGATTGCGGTAGCATGATGCACCAGGAGGCAAGCTGCTACCGCAACCTTTCGCCCAACATCAACGGGCCGCCAGCAGGTACCCCAAGGCTGACGCACGGTCAGAAGTCAAGTATGGTCTATCCGCCCATTTCCTTTCTGAGTGTGCGTCCTTGTGAGTGCAGCGGCCAGCCTGTGACCGACCCCGCCTCTACCTCTACAACGAGTGGCTGGCGCCGCCAAGGAGGGTAGGGAGGGCGGGGAGGGGAGTGTGCAAGTCATATGTGTGGACACATGGCTGCTGTCTCTGTCTGCTCCGTGGCCTGCGGCGATGGATGGATCATGCAGGGGTACATTGGGGAGTTGCTGGAGGAGAGGAACATTCAGCAGGCGGGCTTCGACGCCGCTGGAAGCTTCCACGCGAAGACTGTTCATATCGTAAGTGCACTGCACAGCTGCTTAAACTGGCCATCTGTGCAGTTTGTGCGTCTCTCCCCTTGTCTGTTCAGTGCACTTATGGGTGCACTTCACCAATTAGTAGGATCACAAGTGCATGAGCCATAAAGCACACGAGTATACTGTATGTATGTCTCTTTCCCGGGGTGGTTTTCGTATCTTCAT